ATGCAAAAAGATAATACAGCCTAACCTACCAAAACCATAATCGTAAAAAACAGATTAGGAATACCAATTAAAATAAGCAAGAAAATGAGGTAATGAGTTCAGATTACTAGTACCTGATTCATTTATATCCCAGATTTCTGAAGGAACTGGTAGATTTCAGAACTATTGAACCATATCTTTCAAAGATCCTGGAGCTCCAGGGAACTACCAGAGGACTAGAAAAGAGCAGATGGTGGTTCCCATCTTCAAAAAGGGAGAAAAAACAGTCCAGGAAACTACAGGCCAATAAATTTGACATCAATACCTGGGAAGATCCTGGAAAAGATAAGCAACAGATCTGGGAACATCTAGTAGCAAGCAAAGTTATAATCAAAAACCAACATGGGTTTGTCAAAAACAGATCATTCCAAACCAATCTTATTTCACTCTTTGACAAAGTGACTAAATCAATGGACCAGCAAAATACAGTGGACATAGTATACTTGGATTTAGTAAGGCATTTGACTATTAGACTATGACCTACTTTTTTGGTAAAATAAAGAAATGTGGGATAGACAGCATCATCACCAGATGGATTTGTAACAAACCGCACTCAACATGTAGTCCTTAATGGAACTACATCTACACGGAGGGAAGTAAGCAATGGGGTACCCCAAGGTTCTATTTTAGGCCCAGTACTCTTCAACATCTTCATAAGCTATTTCAATGAGGGAATAGAAGGGGAACTCATCAAATTTGCAAACAACACTAAACTGGCAAGAATAGCCAACACCCCAGAAGATAGGCTCAAGAATCAGATAGATCTCGACAGACTTGAACACTGGGCCCTATCTAACAAAATGAAATTCAAAGTAGAGGAAAGTAAGGTTTTATACTTAATGCAAGAAAAATAAAGGTACAGATTAGGTGAAACCTGGCTCAATTGCAGTATCTGATCCTAGTGGACAGTCACTTAAATATGAGCCACCAATGTGCAGCAACAGGCAAAAATGCCAATGCAGTCTTAGGTTGCATTAACAGAGATAGAATCAAGATCACATGAAGTATTAGTACTTTATGAAGTCTTAGTAACACTACACTTAGAATATTACATCCAGTTTTGGTCACCATATTATAAAAAAGATGTTGAGACTCTGGAAATAGTGCAGAAAAGAGCAACAAAGATGATTAGGGGGCTGGAGGCTAAAACATGAATAAGAGTTGCAGGAATTGGGTATGTCTAGTCTAGTGAAAAGAAGGACTGGGGTGACATGATAGCAGTGTTCCAATATTTGGGGGGCACCCACAAAGAAGAGGGAGTCAATCTATTCTTCAAAGCACCAGAAGGCAAGACAGGGAACAATGGATAGAAACTAATCAAGGAGAGAAGCAACCTAGAACTAAGGAGCAATTTTCTAACAGTGAGAACAATTAATCAGTGGAACGGCTTGCTTTCAGAAGTTATGGGTACTCTATCACTGGAGACTTTTTTAAAAAAAATGATTTATTTATGGTTTTTTCTTTAACATATATGAGTACTTAGTGAACAGTACATTGTCTGGGTCAATTTAGCTTATACAGAGTACTAATAATAATACTGTTTAGGTATATATAATAATAATTTTTCAACTTCTAAGATTTACATATACATTGTAGTTATAATGTATTATATTTTGTAACAGTATACATATTAATGTTTTCCCCATTTCTACTTTCTACCTCTTTTTTCTAATCCCTAATACAACAATTCTCACATTAAAAAGTATGTATCTATCATCTCTTACCCTTTATTATTTAAGGATACATGGTAGTAGTCTTTCAATTTCTAACATTTACATATACATAAGTTATAGTAACTTATACCATGTGACTATGCATAACATTTTCCCAATTTCTAATTTCTAGCTTTCTTTTCTAATCTTTAGTAAGATAAATCCCATATTAAGAGGTATTCTGCATCTATCCATCATCTCTTGCCCTTTTTAGTATTTCAACTCTTACTGACATTTTGGTCAATCTCCCATGCTCCTCCCTTGGGATCTTGTATCCCTCTATATCATTCTTGTTTAGTCTAAATATTTCCTCTGCTTCCACATCTGCCTCTTGTTGTCTACTCTCTAATTCTAATTCTTTACTCCTTCTGAATTTTCCTCTGTTGTCTGCATTTTTTGTTCATTTTTCATTATCATTTGCTGGAGATTTCCTGATCTCACATCTGTGTCGTGCATCAGTGCATCTCCCTATGGTTCCTTGTCATACCTTCATGGATATCTTGAAGCATTAATAGTATTTTTGTTTGGAATGTATTTATTCTTCCTTGTTGTAACATTTTGCTTTATTTTAGTGGGCTAAAAGTTACTCAGCAATCCATCCAGGTCCCAATGTCCCAAGTGTCCAAAAACATTAAAAAGCCAATATTAGAAGAATTTGCTCAGTCCCTGAACTGTTCCTCAAAATCCACAGTATTTGTAGTCCTCAAAGTCTGCCATTTTGCTCCCTCTAAATTATTCAAATTTGTAGGTCTTGTTTAGTTTTTCTTCTTTCGCCTCATAAAATATTCCATCAAATGGAATATTTGGTAGCCTTGGTAGTACAGTGGTCTAAAGCAACCTGTTATTAAGACCAACTGCCTGCAATTACTGCAGGTTCGAATCTCGCCAGGCTCAAGGTTGACTCAGCCTTCCATCCTTTCTAAGGTAGGTAAATTGAGGACCCAGTTGTGGGGGCAATAAGCTGACTTTGTATAAATATACAAAAGGATGAAGGCTATTGCTTAGCACATTGTAAGCCGCCCTGAGTCTCCGGAGAAGGGCGGCATATAAATCAAATTTTTAAAAAAATAGTATTTGTAATCCAGAATGGACCATTTCCCCATGTCTCATTAATTCACAAAATCAGGTATTCGGTTTCAAGGGCAATTCCTTTTATTTATAATCCACACTTCTTTGAGAAATTTCTTTTTTTATATATATATTTGTTTTTTTGTCTTTTTTTTTTTTTTAGAAATTTCAAAAGGCTCACCAGTTACTCCCAAGCCACCAGAAAACAAGTAGATAGAAAAGAAAAAACAAAAAGACGGCCTTCCAGCTGTTGTTTGCCTTTCACTTTGTTTCTCGTCTTATCTATCCTGACTTTCCTTTCTTTTTTATCAGTCCTAACTTCTTTTTTTCAAGGTCCTTTCCAGCCATATATAGTGTCTTCTTTGGCCAGTAAATGGCATTCCAACTCTTAAGTTCCAGTACCAAAACAAGGCAGAAGCTCTAATAGCTGATTGTCAAAGTTCAACAAAAGAAGAAAAAAACACATTTTTCTATATATAATTTCTTCCAGCAGTCAAACAATATTTCCAACAAATTAAAATCACTTTTCACAGCACCACAAATTTGAGTTCAGTCTTTCTATATTTTGAAACTTCATATTCTTCCATTAAAATTTCATTTCTCTTTTGGGTCTATAATTTGTCTCTGTGTATTAATTTCCTGCTTTCTGTGCTTTGGAGTCTTTAAAAAATTCTTTTATCTAGGGTGAGTCTCTAATAAAGAAGTTGAAAATCGTCTCACCCAGTTCCAATCCTCTGTTCACACACCACTCCAGCTCATTTCTCCATCGGTCAGGAGGATGCCTCGGATCTCCCATGATTGACAAGGAATCCCTCCTTTCTTTGTCACCCCTCCAGGGTGACTGGCCCTTTAGGGCCTCCTATCGGAGAAGAATCGGCCAGGATTTGTGGAGCCCTGCTATGTCCAACCGTCTCTCCGCAACGCCAATCCAGAAGTCTCTTTACTGGAGGCTTTTAAAAAGAGATTGGATAGCCACTTCTCTGGAATGGTATAGAGCTGTGATGGCGAACCTATGGCATGTGTGCCCAAATTGGCACGCAGAGCCGTGTCAGCTGGCAAGCACAGCGTCGCACATTCCTCTTCCGGGTTTCTGGCACGCATGCACATGCAATGATCAGCTGGCCTCTTTGCGTGCGGCAGTGACGGAAACAGGAAAAGGTGGTCTTCCATTTTCCTGCATGAGCATGTGTGCCAGCCAGCTATTTGTCACGTGCGCATGCGCACCAGAAACCCGGAAGATTAAACTGTAAGTTCATTTCCAGCCGCGCGCATGCGTCCTGGGCAGCTCCTCTTCTGGGTTGCAGCCCAGACGAGCACACACACGCTCCCTTTTCGGCACTCAGTGCCGAAAAGGTTGGCCATCACTGGTATAGAGTTTCCTGCTTGAGCAGGAGATTGGACTACAAGGTCTCCAAAGTCCCTTCCAACTCTGTTACTCTGTTACTCTATGATTGCAATAGCTGCTTCTGTTAAAACAAGATGTAACAACGGACTTGTTCTTCAGGGGATTTTTATGTCTTAATTTTTTTTGCTAGAGTTTCTTAGAACAGGACAATATGTAGCCATATCCCTTCATGTATTTACAGAAGGAGGCTCACCAACAGCCACTGTGAGGCACCCTTGCTTGATGGCCATTTTTGAAATGAAACCACCAGTTCTGCTTTTCTGTCATATTATATTGATGGATCTGGTGTTTTAGAAATTTAATTGACACTCCATTGAATCTCCTCAGTATCCTTCATCTACATGTAAAATAAGAGAGATTCGTTTATTTCTTAATGGTCTATAAAATGACTACAGAAAACCACCAAGGTAGTTATTATTTTGTTTTACATCTAAGAGACATAGAAGTGATCCACACACACACCTATATTTTTCTCACTTTAAAATGTCAATCCCCTCTCTCTCTCTCTCTGTCTCTCTCTGTCTCTCTCTGTCTCTCTGTCTCTCTCTGTCTCTCTCTCTCTCTCTCTCTCTCTCTCTCTCTTTCTCTCTCTCTCTCTCTCTCTCTCTCTCTCTCTTTCTCTCTCTCTCATATTGAACTAAGATGTTTTTAAATAAGAGTGTGAGAACATTATAGACTCTCCCAAACTAGAAATTTTTCGGATTATCCTTTTAATTGATCATTTTACCTGGACCTAGAAAAGCCCCTTTTTCAGTATTTGTACTTATTTTTTTCAGGAAGCAGCCAAACAAGCCAACAACCCGGGCCTCATCAAAAAGCCAGAATCCATCCTCAGCTCTTCCTACAAATCGTCAGAAATTAGCAAAGAAGAAGCAGTCATCTGCCACTGCAAAAGTGAACAAAAGTCCTCACTTGGCCCAGTAAGTGGAAAGAAAAATATCTTGAGATTCTTCTCCTTCCTTTTGTCTGATCATTATTACCCAAAATGATGCCATAGTATTGGTGGAATAACTACAGGACATGAGTCCTGTCATGGTTCCGAGTAATACTCCCAATCAATTCAACACTTGAAGCCTTGGCTTCCTCAGAAATCCTGTTTATTGGTACAACATATCGGCACAGTCAAATGTGAAACTCTGAATAATTCCTATGGTTTCAGTACAATTAAAAAATAGATACTGGCCACTCCCCTTGTATCACAAATCACATTACCCAACCACATCAGCCAACCAAGCAGACTTCTCAGCACTCCCTCCTGCCATTGCTAGGGCACGTTGCAGTGGTGGGTTTCAAAAATCTTTACTACCGGTTCTGTGGGTATGGCTTGGTGGGTGTGGAATGGGAAGGGTACTGTAAAATCTCCATTCCCTCCCCAATCCAGGGGAAGGTTACTGCAAAATCCCCATTTCCTCCCGATCAGTGGGACTCGGGAGGCAGAGAATAGATGGGGGCAGGGCCAGTCAGAATTTTTACTACCGGTTCTCCGAACTACTCAAAATTTCCACCAGCGGTTCTGCAGAACTGGTCAGAATCTCCTGAAACCCACCTCTGGCATGTTGATCCGGTGTTGGTTCTCAGGAACCTTATCTTTGTTATGCCTGACAAAATGGAGGGAAACATTCTACATTCCATAAATCCCCCTTCCCCCCACCCCCCATAAGTATGACAACTAAGAAATGAAGCAAGAAAATATGACTTCAGCTAGAGTTGTTTCAAGAGTTGACAGTTTATTTCTGTTATGCTCTAGAAGCATCTGGCTGTCCATTACTAAATATCAGATATGATCTTGCAGGGGCTTCTCTGTTACTGTGCTTAAAAGATAGCTTCCAGCATTTACCAAAATTTTGAGGATAACTTATCGTTTATCTTGTTCATTTTTTTTCATTCATGTAAAATATGAGCTTCTACTTTGCTTCAGTACAGTTTATTTACTTTTGTAATACCCTAGTTCAAAACGCAAAAACCACAGCATCTGTATTTCTCTGGAGCAGCCTTAAGGGATAGAAACACTTGTTGACAAGCAAATGGCAGTCCAGAACTCATTTTAAGATGAAGGTGTTATTGATCACAGGAAAAGCCAGACACCCAAAGCAAGTTTGGAAGATTGAGCATGGAAGATAGTTCCTCATGCTAGCCAAAAACAAAGGAAAAATCCATAGGAACAGGAAATAAGCTATATAAGACAAGTATCTCATGGCTCAGCCAGGTATCAAATTGTCATGTGTATGACTCTGTAGTGCTCAGGATCCGAAAAGATCTTGACAGACTTGAACAATGGGCCCCGTCCAACAAAATGAAATTTAATGTGGAGAAAAGCAAGGTTTTACACTTAGGCAGGAAAAACCAAAGGTACAAGTACGGATCAGGCAAAAGCTGGTTCAAAAACAGTAACTGTGAGAGGGACCTTGGAGTTCTAGTGGATGATCACTTAAAGATGAGCCAGTAATGTGTAGCAGAAGCCAAGATAGCTAATACAATCCTTGGTTGTATAAACAGACGCATGTGAAGTATTAGTACCGCTTTATAAAACCATAAGGCAAGAATACTGGAATACTGCACCAGTTTTTGTCACCACATTATAAAAAGGATGTTGAAACTTTGGAAAAAATGCAGAGAAGAGTAACTAAGATGATTAAAGGCCTGGAGACTAAATCATATGAAGAAGGGTTGCAGGAATTGAGTATGGCTAGTCTAGAGAAAAGAAAGACTACGGGTGACAGTATTCCAGTATTTCTGGGGTTGCCACAAAGAAGAGGAGGTCTACTTATTTTCGAAAGCACCAGAAGGCCAGACAAGCAGGGATGGGTTCTAAATTTTTTTACTACCGGTTCTGTGGGCATGGCTTATTTTGTGGGCATGGCTTGATGGTCATGTGACAAAGAGAAGGCTCGCAATCTGGGAGTCCTCCTGGATATGCAGCTGTCCTTGGAGGAACATCTGACGGCTGTAACCAGGGGGACCTTTTGTCAGGTTCGCCTGATTCGCCAGTTGCGGCCCTTTCTTGATCGGGATTCCCTGTGCACAGTCACTCATGCCCTCGTCACCTCTCGCCTTGACTACTGCAACGCTCTCTACATGGGGCTCCCCTTGAGGAGCACCCGGAGGCTCCAGCTGGTCCAGAACGCAGCAGCGCGGGTAGTGACGGGAGCAGCATGGCGCTCCCATGTAACACCGCTCCTGCGCGAGCTGCACTGGCTCCCAGTTGTCTTCCGGGTGCGCTTCAAGGTGTTGGTTATCACCTTTAAAGCGCTCCATGGCATAGGGCCTAGCTATCTGCGAGACCGCCTGCTGCTACCGACGACCTCCCAGCGACCCGTGCGCTCCCACAGAGAGGGCCTCCTCGGGGTGCCATCAGCCAAACAATGCAGGCTGGTGACCCCCAGGGGGAGGGCCTTCTCTGTGGGGGCACCTACCCTCTGGAATCAGCTCCCCCCAGAGATAAGGAGAATCCAAGACCTCAGTGCCTTCCGTCGCGCCCTTAAAACCCATTTATTTAAACAAGCCGGGCTGGCTTAAGATGAAATTTTTAACTGTTTTTAAATGTTTTAAACGTTTTTAATTGGTAAATGAGTTTTAATTGGGCCAAATTTATATATCTTTTAATTGTTTTTAATATTTGTTCTGCATGTTTTTTTAATCTGGCTGTACACCGCCCTGAGTCCTCAGGGAGAAGGGCGGTATAGAAATCCAATATAAAATAAAATAAAATAAAATAAAATTCTTTAGGATTTAGCAGAGGTACTGGTCTACCAGGTTTTTAACTGCTTGCAGAGCTGTACCGGTCTACCCATTTATTTTTGCAGGCACTGGTCTACTCATGTATTTTTGCAGGCACCGGTCTACTCATTTGTTTTTGGAGGCACCGGTCTACCACCAAACTGCCTTTTACCACTGATCAGCAGTAGGATGGCCCTTTGAAGCCCCGCAGCAAGAGTTTAAACAGTTTTTTTCCTTATAGCCCATTAGCTGGGACTCAGGAGGCAGCAATAGATTGGGGATGGGGCCAAATAAAAGGTAAGAATAATGTGGGGGGCAGGGGGGCAGAACCGGTTCAGTGACGGCATATTGTCACCACTATCGGCTCGGAGGAACTGTGCCGAACCGGGAGGAACCCACCACTGAAGACAAGAAACAATGGATGGAAGCTAATCAAGAAAGAAGCAACCTGGAAATAAAAAGAAACTTCCTAACAGTGAGGACAATTAACCAGTGGAGCAGCTTGCCCTCAGAAGTTGTGGGTGCTTCATCACTGGAGGTTTTTAAGAAGAGATTGAGCAGAGGGTTGGACTAGAAGACCTCCAAGGTCCCTTCCAGCTCTATTCTGATTGTTTGAATCTAAATGTAATTGTAATAATTGGGCTAAAGAGGAAGGGTGCCCGGGATATGCCATCTCCAGAGTCTTTTATAATTGAGGCAATTCATAAATACAATAGGTCAGTAAGAAAGTGTAACCATAACAATATGCCATATCATTTTATTTAGTTGAAAAATGGAAACTGGAGCATTTAAACAAAACCCTCATTGAAGAATTCAGTTTTTTATAGGATTCAGAGATCAAGGAGGTCTGATGGGAAGAGTAGAGGGAGGCATCCAGATGTTTGGGATCTGTCAGTGGAAAGCCCCGGAGTTCCTCATCCATGTCTTGACTATGAATTGCATAGGTTGCAGTGGTGCAAATGAGAAAATGGCAAGATAGCCAGGGACAAAAAATGGCAGCAGACACTTTTCCAAAGGTGCTCTTGATGATGAGGAACAGCCAAACAATCCTTATCAGGCAGCCGAAAAGAGGCAGAGTGGAAGAGCAACTTAGCACTAAATTCTCTTGCTTCCCAATTTAACCAGGATCCCAACAATGGCATTGTTAGGGACTGTCTCTCCCAAAGCAAGTTATGGGCCTAGTTTGATCAAAATCACTGGATTCTATGCTTACTAAAAATAATTACCTTTTTGTTTGTTTTGATATTTCAGATCAAAATTTCAACCCACCAAGCGCAGAAGGGAAGCAAGTCCCCCAGTGTCACGTAAGAAGGATCGCCAGAGGGCTGATGAGACTGACATGAAAATGTCAAAGCGATAGTTGGAACCCATGTCAGTGGGGATTCAGGGTGGGAGGGAACGTTCTCTGCTCTGTAACGCTTGGATGGGTTGCATGTGTGTATTTCCAAGATGTAACATAATACACATGTAATATTTTAAACAGCTTTATAAACTATTTGTTTATGAAGATGATATGAATTAGAGAAGGTTTCTTTGTGTCCAGGAGGAATTTGCTGATGCTTCCAATCCACTCTTCACTAGTGGCTTCTTAACACCTTTTTGTATATAAAACATTTATTTAAAAAAAGATTGTATTTTACTGTGTATGAACATAATGGGAACACTTTATTGAACTGCAACACCTGGTATTATATCATATTGTTTTAACTGGATTAGTAAATGTTGTGCTGCCATGCTTAGCGCTGGGTAGGACTAGGAGACGGAAGTGCGAAGCTAATTGGGCTCAGAACATTCTCATATTCGGTACAAGTAGATAGGCATAAGGAGAGCCTTGTTACTTCCTTTGTTGTGTTTGTAACTTTCTCTATGCTAAGATTTAAGAGTGACATTTACAGTGTTGAGTTCAATGTGCTCTTTCCTTTGGAAATGTATTCTCTACTTGTAAACTTTCTCCCAGTGTCCTAGCTGGAACATTGCACAAGAAGAGTTTTTGACTGAAGAGCACATCACCTTTCTATGGAGCTCTTAATTGTTCTTCTCCCAGGGCTTTTGTTTCTCCATAGAAAAATGGAAAACAAAAGGACTGAAAAGATTGGCAACATGCCTACTTTATCCACTAGTATTAAAGAAGCGCGTAGAATCTGGCTAGTTGTCCAAACTTTTAGTAGACTTGCATTTTACTCTCTCAAAAACAAATCTTCAATTTGAGTTCCATGTAAAGCTTTTTTATTGTTAATCGCACTTGTCTCTTGCAAAGATGTAAGTTGCCAAATATTATGAGATTATTTTAAAATGTTCATATTCATCTTTTATAACTAAAATCAATATTGATTTTTAATTTTTTGTTGTAGTTATTGTTTGGAGATCTTTTGTTGTACTGTGGATATTTCTGTCAAATATTCTAGTTTGTTTCTTATTGAATTTTTATATATAAATTACAAAATGTTTCCAAACTAGAGTCTCAGTATTTGAATTGCTAGATTTTTTCATGTATTTCTAGTCTATACTCAAAGATTGTCATCCCAAACATTTCTGAATTTTATTGATATTTATCCAAGTTAAGCACAAGCTGAAATATCTGGTGCTCTGAGCCCAGCAATTTAATGGTGCTTTGTTTTGGATTGGGCTCATGAAATAGAAGTTACAGCATGGGATCAATCATGTTCATAGGGAGGTCGGTAGGATACAACCAAAATCGAAATAGTGGCCACGACTGCACAGTCAAAACTTTGCCTTATTTTTATGTGCAAAGTTTCAATCATATTGTGGCTGCCATTTTGATCTTTTTGATTTATTCTGTGGATGCCCCTGCATTTCAGATAAAAGTTCTTTATCTTTTTCTATTTTTAATTAGGACAGATTAAAACTGTTTTCAGTTTAATGAAACACTATGGATATTTTTTATCTTTAATTCCAACATATTGGGTAGAGAAAGACTCAAAGATTTCAATTGACCTTCATAGTTATTGTCTTGCATGGTGTGAAGGCAGGAAAGATTGCAAGTCTTCATAGCTTTAAAAATGCATTCTTCCTCCCTCCTCCAAATTGTGAAGTCCTGCTTCCTGGTGAAAACGCTTAGGTCACAAGTTCTGTTGCAGGAATGGTGGGGGAAGGGAGCAGCCAGAGGCCTTGCCCCCTCCCCCTTTTTGCACAGAAAAGCCTTCCCCAAAAAGTTGTCGCCTTCTTTTACATAGAAAGTTCATTATCTAATATTCATTAGCTTTGGCTATCATAGTTCAATCAAGTTAATCTCTTCCTTATTACAGCCATTAGCTATCAAATATGGGCATCTCCTCTTTGGCTCTTTGACTCAATTGCATAATCCCAAGGATTTTGGCCAACACCCATCTGGCATCAGATGGCCACATCTCTAGCCCAATGAAGTAAAGTAACAGAGGACAGATTCTCCCACCACAGGTTAGCTTTAACAGATTGTATCTTCTATTAAGAAGAATTTCTTCCAGCTAGAAATCTAGCTTAGGAACAAATTGACTGGATTTTATTGGAGAGTTCTTTCAGGTTGTTTTTGGCTTCTTAGACTAGTCTTCAACTTTGGGGTTTCCAAAGTGGTCTTCTGTTTAAATATCTACCAGTCCTGCTCAGCTTAGCTTTTTTCAAAGTCACTAAGATGCAACCATTTGTTATGACATAAAGAGATGCAACACTTATAGATTAAGTGACTTCCTTGTAACAGTAATTGTCCCAACTAGAGGGGAAATTATCTTGGATTTAAGTTTGATCTTTAGTTTCTCAGCTGAGATAAAAGTAGGATTTTATAAGCATTTTAGCAAGGAGTTCTCAAGAGCTTCAATCAAGGCACACAGTCTGAAAGCCACCAAAAACTCAGGTCTGGGAAAAAAGCAGAAGTTCCTCCAGATGCTATTGAAGCCATCTTTGTCATGAGCGATTGCACGGGACTATAAATTCCAAAATCCTCATCCTGATATGTATCCTTCCTATCAAAGTGAAGTATCCAGAAGAGTCCATGAAAAGCAATGGAAAATGAATTGTATCACTGATAGTACCCCTGATAGTATTGCAAGTACTGTTAACATCGCAGGAAAAATAGATTCCTATATACCCAGTTAAAATAAAGGTAAAGGTTCCCCTCGCACATATGTGCTAGTCATTCCCGACTCTAGGGGGCAGTGCTAATCTCCGTTTCAAAGCCGAAGAGCCAGCGCTGTCCGAAGACATCTTTGTGGTCATGTGGCCAGCATGACTAAACACCAAAGGCACACGGAATGCTGTTACCTTCCTACCAAAGGTGGTCCCTATTTTTCTACTTGCATTTTTTACCTGCTTTCGAACTGCTAGGTTGGCAGAAGCTGGGACAAGTAACGGGAGTTCACCCCGTTACACGGCACTAGGGATTCGAACCGCTGAACTGCCGACCTTTCAATCGACAAGCTCAGCATCTTAGCCACTGAGTCACCGCGTGCCTTTCCAGTTAAAATACAACAAATAAAAATAGTGCTTTCTTTATTAGCTATTTTAACAGCAATTGCTGAATCTGTCCCACAGGATCAGATCCCAGTGACTCTGAGCAATATTTTTAATCACTTTTTACACGTGTGTAATACCAGCAAACTCATGGTACATACTAAGTGTATTACATGGAATGCAGGCAGCTAAAAGTGGAAAGTTTGATTTAGTTATGTTAGGTTTTTTGATGCAGCTCAAAATCTGATAAATCCAATGAAACGCTGAACTCGAGGCAACTGTTAATCAGTTTTATTTTGATCAAAGCAAGACTCGGCGCCCTTGATCTCCCTCCTCTTGAACAGCAAGGCAAGGAGAGAAAAACAGGCGTGCAAAAAAACTTTTTCCTTATTATAGTTGCTTGCATAGGGTGTCATTGCTATAGAAACATAATTTCATATCCACGGTTTTATGCAAAGCTCATTATTTTCTCAGCACTCTGAAAGAATGGAGAAAGAAAGAAAAGGAATACACATTTTCCAGGGTTATGATTTTAATCTTCACATTAGATACTTGCAGCAGACAAGAATTCACATTTTGAATTTACAGCAAGTTACTTACTTAAGCTTGGCAATTAGCCTGGAGGCTTTCTGTCCTCAGTTGGTATATTAGGTTGCAATGAGGCTTCAGCTCAGCAAGGAATATCAAGTTGAGTTTGTTTGTTTGTTTGTTTGTTTGTTTGTTTGTTTGTTTGTTTGTTTGTTTGTTTATTAAATTTATATACCGCCCTACTCCCGAAAGACTCAGGGCGGTGAACAGCCAAAAGATAAAAAAAGACATAGTACAAACGTTAAAAAACCATTTAAAAATACATTAAATACTTTGGCCCAAAACAAATTTAAAACACCCCAATTTATAAAACAAATTTAAAAGCAATTAAAAGGGAGGTTAGGCCAGGCCAGCCTGCTGGAATAAGAATGTTTTGAGGGCACGGCGGAAAGTGCGCAAATCCGGGATCCTCCGTATCTCTGGGGGGAGTTCGTTCCAGATGGCAGGTGCCCCCACAGAGAAGGCTCTCCCCCTGGGGGCCGCCAGTTGACATTGTTTGACCGACGGCACCCTAAGAAGACCCTCTCTGGGAGCGTACTGGTCGGTGAGAGGCTACTGGTGGTAGAAGGTGGTCTCGTAAGTACCCCGGTCCTAAGCCATGAAGTGCTCTAAAGGTGGTAACCAAAACCTTGAAGCGCACCCGGAAGACCACCAGGAGCCAGTGCAGCTCGCGCAGGAGGGGAGTCACATGGGAGCGCCACGTCGCTCCCGTAACCACCCGCGCAGCCGCATTCTGGACCAGCTGGAGCCTCCGGGTGCTCCTCAAGGGGAGCCCCATGTAGAAAGCATTGCAGTAGTCCAGGCGGGAAGTGACGAGGGCATGAGTGACTGTACGTAACGAGTCCCAATCCAGAAAGGGACGCAACTGGCGGATCAGGCGAACCTGATAAAAAGTCCTCCCGGCCACAGCCATCAAATGCTCTTCTAAAGACAGCCGTGAGTCCAGGAGGACACCAAGTTGCGAGTCCTCTCCGTGGGGGCCAATGACTTGCCCCCAATAGTCAGTGATGGCACCAATTGACTATATCGGGAAGTCGGAAACTACAGCCATTCGGTCTTGGATGGGTTGAGCCTGAGTCTGTTTCTCCCCATCCAGATCCGTACAGCCTCCAGGCACCGGGACATCACTTCAAGGGCATCATTGGGGTGATCCGGGGTGGAGATGTACAGCTGAATATCATCAGTGTACTGATGGTACTTCATCCCGAAACTACGGATGATCTCACCCAGCGGCTTCACATAAATGTTGAACAGAAGGGGTGAGAGGACCGACCCCTGTGGCACCCCACATACAAGGGGCCTCGGGTTCGACCTCTGCCTCCCTGTCAACACAGACTACGACCGGTCGGAGAGAAAGGAGGAGAACCACCGCAACACGGTGCCCCCCACCCCTAACTCTTCCAACTGGTGCAGCATGATACCATATATTAGTTAGGTACACTCTGTACATGCTCTAATCCTTGCAGTTATTTCTTTACTTTGTGCATGACCAATTTCTTTATCCTTGGTGCCAACCTATTTTTAATAGTGCTGATTTAATTTTTTTTACAAGTTAGATGTGGGAGAACAAACCATTCAAATAAGAATTTATACATTCAGATATCTTCAGTTTAACAAGAAGTGGTATATCCAAACACCAAGATTACATATGAATAAGGAATCATACAGTGATGTCATGATCCAAGTCTTGCCCTGATGAACTTGTGTTCCATTTCCTGGTACAGTCTATAAGTATTTCATCAAGATTTTCACCCACCTTCCCACTGAAAACTCTCATACTCTTGAGGGTAAGCAACAAAAACCAGCAACAGAAACTTTGAAATGAAGGACAGACCTGTGAAATTCTTGGCTGAAGGTTGGAGGTCAGAATTGGATTGTGATGTTTTTATCTGTATCTATCAGCCTTTCAAGCAGGGGTGAAATGTAAAATTGGTTACTACCAGTTCTGTGGGTGTGGCTTGGTGGGGGTGGGATAATGTGACTGGGTGGGCGTGGCCAACTTTTTTTTTTTTTTAACTTTTCAAAGCATTTTTTCTAATGCTTTGAAAAGCCTCTGCCGATCAGGCAACTTAGCTGGGATCGTCAGAGACTTTTCAAAGCATTTTTTTTTACCATCTCTTGGGCCAAGAGGTTGCAGAGAAAAATGCTTTGAAAAGCCTCTCTGATGATCAGGCAACTTAGCTGGGATCGTCAGAGACTTTTCAAAGCATTTTTTTTACCACCTCTTCGGCCATGAGGTTGCAGAAAAAAATGCTTTGAAAAGCCTCTGACAATCCCAGCTAAGCCGCGCAATCATCAGAGGCTTTTTTTTTTACTTTGAAAAGCATTTTTTTGTCGGAAGAGGTTGTAGAAAAAATGCTTTTAAAAGTAAGGGGGGGAAAGCCTCTGATGATCGTACGGCTCAGCTGGGCATGGGGCGGGG